CTAGGCTTCTGAGGCAACTGAAACAAGAAAACTCGATTGAATCTACCACGTTCGAACAACTTCGAGCCACGGGGACGGTAATTCCGAGACTTTATGGCCTGTCAAAGTTACATAAGGTGGGGTTTCCACTTAGACCCATATTGGACATGTGCAACTCACGTTACCACGCAACAGCCAAGTGGCCAGCCAAGCTTTTAGAACCAATGAGAAAAGTCTTATCCATGTATAGTCTCCGTGATACATTCAGCTTTTTAGACAGTATAAAACATCTTAACCTAATCGGAAGAAAGATGTTTTCGTTAGACGTTGTGTCGCTCTTCACGAATGTTCCTTTAGAAGAGACAATAGACTATTTATGCGACACCATTCGAGCACATCAGTTGAACGTCGGCCTGTCGAACAATCGGTTGAAACAGCTGAAACATGCTGTGTACTAGCAACATACAATTTCAGTTTAATGGGGTAATATACAGACAACAAGACGAAGTAGCGATGGGCTCACCACTAGGACCGCTGCTGGCAGATGTATTAATGAGCAAATTAGAAAACAACTACCTGAGCGGAGTCATTACCGTACTACCCTATTACGGCCGGTATGTGGATGATATATTTTGTGTGACAGACAGTCAATGCTACACAGAGCAAATTCTATCCCTTTTTAACTCAGCGCACGACAACGCTAAGTTTACCTTGGAATCTGAACGTCATGGTACGATGTCTTTCCTAGACGTCCAAATTAGCTGAAGATCAGATGGGTCGATCCAACGCAGGGTGCACAGAAAAGCCACGTGGAATGGACAATACATACATTTTGCCAGCTTTGTCCCACTAAGTCAGAAGCGGAGCTTGATTAGATGCTTAACCGAAAGGGTAAGAAAGATATGTAGTGAGGACACGCTTTCGGACGAGCTGAATTTCTTAGCTGGCCTTTTTGAGAGAAACGGCTATCCCGAAAAGTTTGTTCGGAGAAATATGGAGTGTCGAGAATCGAGGGCTAAAACCGATTCGGTTGAAAAGAAATTGGTTTATCTGTCGTTGCCGTTCAAAGGGGATGGAATAGCGCAGGCCACGTCTAGAAGGCTATCCGACGCCATAAACCGTACGTACTACGCGGCAAGCCTAAGACTAAGATTTACTTCAACACCAATCGTAAGGCTTCAACTCAAGGACAGACTTCCTCGGTCAAGTACTTCTTTCTGTGTATACTCCTTTATTTGTTCATGTCGAACAAGTTATATCGGAAGAACAACCAGCAGACTGTCTGAGAGAATCCGTGAGCATTGCCCGAGTTGGCTGTGTACAGGTGGAACTAAAACAGTGATAAGCGCCGTGTTGGCACATCTAGTTGATTTTAACCACCGGATCGATGGGCAACAAAGTTTTCAGCCAATTTACCGCGTATCTGGATGCTACACACGAGCGGTAAGATGTCGCCTATTAGCAAAAGCCGAAGCGATCGCCATCCGTCTCCAGAACCTATGTGCACAAAAACAATTCGTTCAGATTCTCTCTCTTCCCTGGCCCCTGATTACAGGAACCCCTGCTGAGAAACGTGCAACTGTCATGTCATTGACCGTTTGTGATCCATGTACTTGACCTTGTCAGTTAGATCACCTAGACTATTTAATTTTACCCTTTGAACTTTACTACCGTCTGATGTTTTAACTCATTTTATTATTGTTAGTTGTGATGTACCAGCCTGACGAGATCCAACGAAAACCAGCTTGTTCGCAGACTCTTGTTCTGATGTCTACACATGGGATATTTCCTCACTCTTAAGGCAGTCTACTAGAACTGAAGCTATTGAAAGTACGGCCTAGGTAGTGGCTGCGTCAATTGTGTTCGCAATAGGATTCACGCTTCGGTGTTGCCTGTTCACACACAGGAGTGTTCCATTCCGTATTTTAGCTAATCACTGCACAATATTTTTAGTACTATCCGATGGGTTTATGCGTAACCCAATTCTAACCTTGTTATGCCAAGTGCCTTACGAAGCGTATTACGCCGAACTGTGAATTACATTATAGGGAAAGAATTCCACAGGCCTAACTTGCCATGGTCCGCAGATCATGTTTTAGTAAAGCTTAGGTCCTCGTCTCCAAGACTAATGGACCCGGTATGTCATACCCCCCCCACGCAAGTGAGTAATAATTTTTGGCAACGGCAACGGCCCACCTTCACCAGAGGTTCTGCAGTAATTCCCTATATCGGGTTCTGCTATATTCAGCGTTAACATCCGACTGTAGAAATCAGCATTTTCCATAACACAAGCCATTTTCCGGCCTTGTGAGAAAGCCACTAGTGACAAGGCAAAAACCAATGTCACTTTTATACGCATCGCAGATGGGAATTTGCGCGTCAACTACAATTAAAACATCTAATAAGTTGAACTGAAATCGCTTGCAACATGTCACATGTAGGCGGAATAGTCAAGGCTGTTGATGGCAAGTAGATATATAAAAAATGGGAAAATATTTGGCATTCTGTCGTCACGTACAATCAAAAGATAAGAACTACAGTGAGACGAAGTATGAAACCTCGCAATCATCTCAGCGAACGGAGCTAACGTGCGCTATAAATTTCCCCAGCTCGTAAAACAACTTTCCACAGTGAGCACATATGTGAGTTCCCTGTTTTGGAGTAGAGAACAGAACGCCAACAGTTATGCACAAGGTAAGATGAAGAATGTGCCTTGCGGAATATACACAACCATGTGCGTCGCATCCTTACTCGAACGGTTACTTCACCGTGCCGTTGTCTAAACGGGACGGGCAATTTGACCGACGTATTTTACAGGCGCTAAATGTGGAAGCGCTGATGTCAACGCCATTTCCAATTGTGAGCTCTCAGAGTTAACATACGCTACTGTAGTATACTTAAACTGTAACATGACTGTGTTGACTATAACTTTACATTGTATTCCAGTATGCGTTTCGATCATATTTGATCTCCTCGGATAGAGATAGCAGGCATGGAACCCGTTGTGCCAAATGTTGCCCATCTGGACCCGGTGGCTCAGGCGTAACGGTCATAATTAACATTTCAATGATCCAGGGTTCGATACCTGCTATCTCCATCTGATGAGAGCAAACAAACTCGAAACGCGTAATGGTTTGCAGTATTTCCGGATGGGCAACACCCAATTTCCATCTGCTACAGCTACAGTCCTCGTGATCGAATACCCAATGTTCACTTCAATGGGAATCAAGGTCAACATTGAGATTGCGTGTCACCATCCAACTACACGTGAAGTTCAAGATGACCTTGCAATCAGTCATTAACCGTTGGGCCAAGCGTTACTCATCGTGACCCAGTGGCCCAGGGGTAGCGACTAGAACTAACATCACAAGGGTCTCAGGTTTGATGCTTGCTATCTCTATCCGAGGAGATTAAATAAGATCGAAACGCGTAATGGAGCGCAGTGTTTTCCGGCGGGCAACACCCAATTTCTATCTGCTACAGCTACCGACCTCGTGATCGAAATATCTAGGTTCACTTCAATGAGAATCGCGGTCAAGATTGAGATTGCATGTCACAATTCATCCATAGGAAGTGTGTTTCAAAATGACCCTCCAATAACTTTATACTGAAATCCACCCCATGCTTTCAGTAGAACCTTGTCTATCATGTCAAGTCAAAATAAGCTAAACGGGTGCATTATCAAGATTCACACTAGTATTATGAATACACTGAATGAATAGGACCAGTTAAAATTCATAAATACAGATTGAAGAACTAGACAGAGAAAGGTATGTAGACGTCATTCGAGGAGCCGCATGCGCAAAGCATTTATGACTTTCTGAGGGTCGACAAGAAAGCGTGACGAATAGGGCAAAATTGTGTTACGATACGAAGAAATGCGAGAGAACAAACTCCTAAACTGAACTCGTGTGGCAGACATAACGCTGGTTTTCAAATGACGAAATTGTGCCGTTCGCCAATTGCCACCCGATTGCTCGCTAATCCGAATCAACACAAAAGTCTGATAACTAACCCTATTCCATGTACCGCTGATGCGGCTCCAAACAATGGAAGCCTGTTCTTTCGGTTTCCGCGATTGGTGTGACCAGACGTCGTAGTTCCACCAGCTGTGACAGAGACAGCTCACCAGAGTCCCATGTAACCAACCGATGAGTGCTTAGCGGAATTCAGACACGCATCAGCTAGGGTCGTCAAAACGCATGTGGATATTCCCTGTCCACTTGTTGATAGAGGGCAGTGAAAAAATGGTGTTTTAAAAACGAAAAACCTTTGCACCGCTTTCGGAAACTATTGTGCCTTTGAAACCAAGAGGGGGAAAAGATAAAAGTGAAAATCCGTTCCATGCTGATTCGATTAGCCAACCCGGAGGAATGGTATCTCTGCTGCAGAGCATACCGAACCTATATCTTCCAAACAGGTCAGATGATTTTACCAGTTTCGTTAAGTTCTACGACCGTTTTACCCCTGACTGTGCAACTCTGCACGAATCTTCACCGACTACAGGTCGAATAACCAGAGGTGCCTGCTACTGTGGGCACCGAATAATTCCCCTGGTACGATGTTCCTGTATGGGCTACAGTTCATACATCTAATTGGACCAGTAACTTCTCAGTGAAGAACTAGTTGCTAGATCGAAATATAATCGTCCATTTGTGTGGACCTCTATTACAGTCCCATTGTGGTTAACTTATCCTTGTGTTAACACAGCCCTAATTCCATATTCGCCCGTTAACGCCCGGGGCTTGGCTTCACCGTGAAGCATTATCCTGGGATCTGAACGGCCAGCTTTTACCGTTCGTCGTAACATGCTACTGCCAAATACAGAACATGGCTTCTGACCTAATTCACCTTCTGAAACCGTCATTCGATGATATGTCCAGTTCAGTATCAGCCTAAGAACCCCAAGCACACCAGGTTGAAAATATTCTCCGACATCGCAAAAACTAGCAAAGAATGACAGATATGTTGCGGTACACTATTTCACTGATCGCAGATTATTCTTTCCACTTTACTGTCACCATGTATAACTGTGACATTATGCCAATTTACAGTAATTCGGTAAGCGCTGTACCACGTGCACATATGCGTGCGCGTATACTGTTGAAAAATACCTTGCTTGGAAGACACCGGCAATTCTCCAACCGAGAATATGTTATCTTTGTCCAATGAGTGAATGGTGTCGTGTTGCTCTGCCTTGAAAGACTGGTCAGCAGCACATCTACCCATGGGATCCAGCGGCTCCCCCACATGACGATCCAAGATACCAATTTGTTCCCCGCTTGAAGAACTTAAAGATTGCACATCCGTAGGCTCGGGCTTCGGTCTCAGAATGCAGAGACTCAAAGGTTGCGCCAGATTTGGGCTCTATCGAATGTCGTCCTGAGAAACAAAAACCCGGATTACACGAGTAGTTTAAGTACTCATATGCAGCGATCATACGCACGTATACAGTTCAAAAACAAAATATCTACATCAAAGCAAAATTTCACGTAAGGACTGGGAGTAAGGTTAGTTAGACAAAAGTGAACAAAAGACTTAGGTTAACAGACTAAATCCCTTTTAATCAGGTTACTAGTGGAGCGCAGTGAATCACCGCTTCAACAACGGCAGGAAAAAAGACGTCGCGCAAAAGTAACGAAACTAACGTAACTCTACTAGGTCACACAACTCCATCGCGTAATAGAAAATAAAATATACGTGAGAGTGTAACGTTCCTTCTATCAGTTTCTTCTGAATAACTATACAGAGATTGCCGGAGAATACGCAGTCATTTGGCGAGTGCCGTGACAAGGGCGACAGTCATAAACTACATCAGTGCATCAGTAGCACGCTGCAGCGGAGACATGCAATCAACAGAAACTGGCAGAAGGATTTGGAGAAAGAAAGCGATAAAGGAGAACCCAAGTGCCACAAGCAAATAGCAGAAGCGCATGCTATCAGCACTCTGCTAAGACCGAATGGTCACAAAGAACTGGCCATTGGATGAACAAACGATGGCAGCAACAAGATAACGTTTTTGCAACATCCAATGCATCGCGACAGAATTGCACTTCTCGTCAGCATCCGTACATGAAGAAGCAGACAAAGAGCAAAAGTTTATGTCAAAGTTCTGGGAGACAAGTAACGATACATCAGGGTGTTAATAACAGTCCTGTACATAGTACTGACGCGCGATTACCGACAGTGGGATGAGAGACAAGAATACTGCGGCATCGCCCACACAAACGAGACTTTCATGAAGCGCCTATTGATACTCCATTTGCATCGTTGGGTCCTCCAACTTAGAGGTGTTCAGTCGGGTTTGAAAGAAAATATGTGCTACCGGAACGCATGCACCCTGTCGGCACACCAACGCATGAGCAGTTCCAAATGCTGGCAATCGCCCCCGCGACACTTATAACTGTGTGATCGATTCGTGGCTAATGCTGAGTAGAGAATAGAGGACGCCAGGGGCATAGTGTCACTAAAGGTGACGAAAGGTCATGCTGGAAATGAACAGTTGGTGGTCAGCATATATAAAAAGCAGTTCCTCTCCGTTGCCAGAGTAAGATCATCATATCCATGTGGTCCTCCCGAGGTGGCGTTCACATGGCAGCAATCGACCGACAAGTGAGTTGAAAATTTGTACCAAGAATGTCTGTTTCAAACGCCTTTAGAAGCAGCTAATGAAGGCGTTGATAGAACTGGCCCTTAACTGTATCTGATCGGCGGTCTCAAAGAGACTTGAAGTTCTGCTAACCTTGCAAAAGCAACAGATCCCCACAGCGTACAATATATATATATATATATATATATATATAGCTAAAAAATCTTCCTAATACTTTCTTATTTAGCAGTAATATCAACCTGAAATTTCTTCGATAAATCTGCACACCTCCTTTAGATTGAGTTAGTTAATTTCGATAAGACTTTGGCATTTGTGGCATTTGTTTAAAATAAATATTCTGACGTCTTGAACGTATCGCGGATTTCTTTGTAATCAATTTATTTCATATGCTCAGATACTGCCGACTTATGTTACCGTATCTGTATGCATTATTCGACTTAGTTTATTTGATATCGTCCTTTCAAGTGATTGGCTGTTGCTTGAGGTCCCCGGTGTGGCTGCGCTTGATGCGCATGTTGACAAGGTGCCTACCTGTCTAGTACTCACTACCTCGTCCATACTGGCTCCAGGAAACAGTTGGTCGTTGCTGGAGGGGACGGGGTGGACGGTCCTTGTGGCCGTGCTAGGCTCGAAGAGTGGTTCCATGCACTCGGAGTGGAGTGGATCACGGTCCAGCCACCGCATCGTGTGCGATTGATTCCAAAATACAGCGTGCTTGTGTTTGCCTGTGAAGGAGTGTGGGCCGATTCCGTTGATGAAACGTACATCTCATTCACATGCATCCGGGCATTATTCCTTCGGATTTACACTGGAAATGGGGTGTGTGGGTGGTGCAGCGCAGGTCACCCATTGTCCCTCTGTAGGGGCAGGCGTCCTGTGGCCGGCCACAGTGACAGGCAAATCCGAAACCGGATGACGCCAACCATATGTAGTTAAATCATCTGACTTGCTGCAATCCAGAAACTTGCACTTACTCTATACAGAACGGCCACAAACCCAACCAAAGGAAAAAGTCAGAAGGACTTTGCACAAAATAATGTATTAATCGCAGTACGCTGTACAAAGGTGGCAGACCACGGTCGTATTTATAGGTGGCCTCATGAACTTCGACTTCTAGAATTAGAAGAGCAGACACCAAGGTTAGTTGTTCCAATTGATTTAACCGATGTTCAAGAAGGTTGTTAGTTATGTGCTGGCTTTAGAATATTCCAAAATATTCGAAATTGACACGATAACCGTTAACAATCGATAAGCACTGAAAGAATGGATTTGCCGGGAAGTTCTTAATTGCCCCCGGACACCTCCCCTCTTGAGATGGGATCTATGGTGTAAGAAGGAAACCTGGGATGGACTTGCAGCCTCTTGGACGGTGTTCGTATCCTGGCGGTCCATGGCCCCGGCTGAAGCGCGCGAGAGACTGGTCCCGGGGTCTGTCGTGCATTCTCGTTGCTGGACTGACAGCCATCGTTCATAGACTCCTTTAGAAGGTTGGAGCTAAGCAGACTTTACTTCCTCGAGTTGGCACAGCGTTGGCCGTAAGTGGTTTGCATGGCGAACCCAGATCTGCGTCCCCGCGATCACTCCATAGATCACATTCCCGCGCTTGCCTTTAAACGTACCAGGTGTCCAACCTCCGTGACTTGCCTGGTACTTCCGCAATAGCACTGACTGCCCTAGCATAAACGATCGTTGCTTAGCCCCATGCCGCCGGTTAAAATCCCGTTTTATTTTGTGGTACCTCTCGCCAACAGAGGGTAGAGGGCTTGGTCGAATGGCATAACATGGAATACGCAGCTTTCTTTACATCATGGCCTGTGCTGGCGAGACACCACCGGCACTTTTGGGTTTGGTGTTGATCGGTATAAGAAGAGGAATCGGTCAATCACCTCTATATGTCCTTCCCCCTTTGATTTGAGAAGAGCTCACTTGAAAGAATCCACCAATCTCTCTGTCTGGCCATTCGATTGTGGGTCCAACGGCGGTGAGCGGATGTGCTGGACGGTACATTGTCTGTAGAACGCGGTAAAAAGTGCTGAGGTGAACTATTTGTCGTTATCAGTTACAAGTGTTTCTGGACAACCGAATTTGGCGAAGATTTGTCGTAGTTTTGTTACGGTTGCTTGTGTCGATGTGCTGTTTGTCAACAACACTTCAGGTCATTTTCTGTAAGAGCCAACAGCAATGAGAAAATTTTGGCCGTTGATCGGTCCAGCGAAATCGACGTGGACAGTGCACCATGGTCACGTGGGTTTCCACCATGAATGGAGTTCCGTCTTCACTAGTGTTGTTAAAGCCGCAACGCACTTGTAGCAACTTTTCGTCATCTCTTCCAGTTGTCTGTTCATGAATGACCAGTAGACAATTCTTCGGGCAAGCGCCTTCATCCGGTTGATCCCAGGATGCCCTGCATGGAACTGTCCAAGTACAAGCTTTGGTAGTGCCTTGAGGATGACAACTCATTCCGAGAACAACATGCAGCCGTCAACGATGGAGAGTGCATGCCTCCCTTGATAGTCCTGGATGCAATTCGGCTGATGAACATGTATGTGGCCAACTCATCCGGTTGAATGGTGCGACCATCTTGAGTACAGGGTCACGAAGCGTTTCTGCTCGTACAGCTTCCGCAGTCACCGGCAGGTCACGTAATACGTCACTCACAAGAAATATGACGTATGGTTCAAGCTCAACTGCCGTCATGATCTTGTCTTCTTCATCTTGCTAATGGGAGTCTATAAGGCGTGACAATGAGTCCGCTTCGCCCGTGGAAGCGGTTGTTTAGTAGCTGACCTCAAAACAATAGCTCAGAAGTTAGAACCCAACATTGGAGACGATTAGCCGTGTAGGCAAGGATGACCTTCTTCGAACCGAAGATGGCCAGCAATGGTTTGTGATCAGTAAGTAGTTTCAATCGGCGAGCATATAGCACCTTTTGGAATTTCCGCACTCCAAAGATTATGGCTAATGCTTCTTTTTCGATCCGGCTTTAGTTTATCTCAGCTTTTGTCAAAGTTCTGGCCGCAGGAGCGATTGCTTTTTGGGATCTATCCGGATACAAATGCGAATTAACCGCACCGATCTCGTGATTCGATGCGTCGGTTACAAGAATGATCTTCTGAGTTGGGTCGTAATGCGTCAACAATAAGTGAAGCCAGCAACGAATTGATTTATTCAAAGGTGCGCTGGCACTTTCGCGTCCAGTTCCAGGTGTGGAATTTGATCAAAAGCCTGAATAGCGAGGCATGCAGGCGATGCAACTCAGGAAAAAATGCGCTGTAGTGACTAATGAGACCACAGAAGGAACGTAGCGATTGAATATCTGCTGGCAGAGGCATCTTCATTATGGCTTCGATGTTCATCGGATCTGGTCGACGGTCATTCTTTTCAAGGATAAAACCAAAGTATTCGATGGTCGGAGTGAAGTGCACGCACATGCGCTCCAAATCGTGCGACAATTCTGGACGCAACCAATCCAGCGGTAACGGATCGCAATGTGATCGATCCGCGTCCAAGGCTGGTTCGAAGCTGGTGGGCGCCATGTCGCCCTCCTGTGGATGCAGTGCCGGAAGCTAGAGCTCGAGAAAAATTTGCGAGCATCTTCGCACAAATGAAGTAATCAATC